ATGAAAACTCAAAATATTCCGCGATGAAGGGACACGTTGTCATAGACGGAACGCAAAGCGCAACGAATATGTCTCATTAGCGAGCATCATTATTTTCTCAAACGGAGCATCGGTTCATTACGAGCCGTCGTAATTGTATGTACGTTTCGTCTCGCCCTCCCGAAGGGCACACAGACGCGCTTTAGGCTTTCTATCAAAGAGCTTGCAGTTTAAGAAGCGGAAGGAAGAGGCATAGAGTGAGAAGCTTGGAATCATGGAAGCGGTCGGAGAGTGGCCCTTTCAACGGAGACACTTTGCACCTGTTGAAGGTACAGCCACTACTCGATCTTGCCAAACTCTCCCGCTCAAAGTGATCTCCAACCTCTGGCAGTTACTAGAAAAACGTTGGCGAATTCCCTTCTAGCGCCCGATTTCGTTTCGTTGACATCTCGGAAATTGGTTTTCGATATGAGCCGCGATGTAGGTATCCCATTGTTCCTTGTGCATGCGACAGCTGCTCGAAAAACGCGTCTTGCATCGCTTATTGTTTTTTTCCCTTTCCTTTTTTGACATATGTACACTTTTCGCAACAGTACACTTTTCATGCGCGTTTAAAAAGTTTGGTAAAAGGAACCTAAATTATAACCAGGAGTCGAAAAGAAATTCCACGTTTAACTTAAATATTCATTCATCATCGGAAAATACTCAAATTCAAAACATAAAGAGTAAAACTGCAACGTTGTTGCATACTGAAATGATATTCAATATTTGTGTCAACGTTATTTGCAGTTGTCACAAACATCCGTTGCTGCATTCTTGCAAAATACGTTTACGAGACTACATATTGCAACTATCTTGTGCGTTTCCATGTATATATACACGAATCATCTAATTCCATGATAATTAAAATTGGCGACGAAAATAAATTACCATCTATGTTAATCGATAATTATTAAATTTTTTTATGTATAGAATTATTTCTCTCTCCCAATATATCTCGATCCCGCATACATATTCTAGCGATACAGAATTTAATGAAATGCAGTATTTCTCACGGATATCCTGTACTTGTATTTTAACGCAATACAAAATCATTAGAGGGGAACGCTTTGGAAAAGCGCGTGTTAACTACGGACCGCAACGCAGCGTCGTTCACGAGCAAAATTTTGAAGAAAATTAACGCGCTCTGCCCGAAGTTGCGTCGTCTACCGTGTCCAGGTGTACACGGGCCGTTGCGCGGAGCTTGCGAAAGCAGCCGGGGGCTAACTCTTCCGCAAGCTCGCTCGGGTCTACGAGCCGTGTCGGTGCTACCGCTCCGCGCCGCGCCGTGCCAGGACGAAGTGCATTCGATGTTCGCAGTTCGCTGCCATGGCAACAATCCCCTACAAACAAAATGCATCGTGTGCACACGACATGCCACGGTTCTCCTTGTCGCACCGAGGCCGGTATCCACCCGCTGTGCGTTTAGTCGCCACGGAAGGAACCGTTACCGGGGTGAAGAAATGCCACCGGACAGGACGAGACACGACTGTAAATTCCGAGCGTGGCGAGTGTCGGAGGGGACGGCAAGCCCCGTGTGCTTTGCGAGATAAATCGTTCGGCTAGCTCATGCACTCGCACGGCTGCCGGGAGTGTCGAAAGGGGACATCGGTGAGCACGCGATCGGCGCCGATGATTAACGGTCGATTAAAGATAAGCGTCGACTGTTCGTTTTGCTACGTCGACATGCCGGCGAGATGTTGTTACGTGGTTAACGCTTTCGCGATCGATACGGTCGATGCGTACATTGTGTTGCGCGAATTTATCGATGAATTCGGAAAGCAATGAGTTTCTGTTTAAACATTATGATATTGTGATAATTAAATAATAATTAGTTAATATTATATACGTTACAAGCTAATAATTACTAATTTCGTGAAGACTGAGCTCTGTAATTTTATTTAGGTCAAAACTTGCGCAAATAATGTTTAAGCAAAGATTTAATCATGTAGGTATTTGTTCGAGCAATTTGGATTTGTCGATTTTAAATAGCGAAGGAAATAAGATATTGATTTTTACTTTTGCAATAAACACGTGGTATCGTTTCTATGCTTGCCAACATACTATATACAACGAACGAAAAATGAAGCAAAATAGTGTCTCGTAATCACGGATATTTGTCGCGCTGGTCCAAAAGCGACGTGGCAAGACAACCGATAAAGAAACGATCTTTCTATCCTTTTAAACGTCACGGCGACGTTTTCGAATCCATACGGATTAGAAAATCCAATATAGAAAGGAGGAGCGCCACGAGGGCGTAGCGGAACCGCACGAACAGGAGGGTGACCGAGGTCGCGCCGAAGGGAAATGGGTAGAAGAGAAGAGGAAAGGTCGGAGGAAGAGACGGGGGTTAGTGAGGAACGAGGAGAGGGAAGAGAGAGAGAGAGGGTGAAGAGGGCATAACACAATTACATGTGGGGTTGATGCCGGGCTCGCTCTCCGTACCATATAGCGGCGGGATGAGGGTCGGGGACTGCGCGGAGGGTGCCCCAACGGTGGGTGGCAAGATTGAATATGAAAGTTTAATGCGAGCAATATCAGCGCCACTGCCCCGGCCCTCGGCTACTCACTCTCAGACGTCTCGACTATCAGGGTGCCCATCTTGACTGTATCTCTCTTTATATCGCGAGTATGCCGCTCACACCGGCGGCTTCGAGCGGGAAAGAGGCAGAGACGGTATAGGGAGCACCTGGAATCTTTGATGTTCCGAGGTAACCCACAATCCTCGAGTTTGTTCCACGCTCGCGCGTAAATTTCCGACCGATTTGAAAAACTGATTTGTCAATACGCAGCTGCGCGCCGCTTTCGACAAGCGCGTCTATTTCGATGCAAACAACGTTTAGAACGCGACGCGCAGCGCGAGAATGTAATTAGCACCTCGTTGGCTCTCCTCTAGATCCAAATATTGGCTATTTTCAATGCGCGAGAAATGATAGAATAGGGGGAAGCCTACGATATCGTCAATGACATATTCGATTTCCTCTACGCTCAATCTACAAATCACCAAATATCACGATAGCTATATTTATTATATACACAACCTGAATTATGTTTACGTTATCAATTGGCACAAGTTGTCACACATATTTCATTATTAATCAATATCGTACACAATCTCGTAATCTTTTACTTTACAAAAATATTTTTATATTTCTCCCATCTTAATGAAAGGAGCGGTATAAACGTATTGTGAAACAGTTAGCAATTTAGCTTTTTCTCTTCCCGTATAAAAAAAGATAATTATCAATTAAAAACTTACTTTTGTGTAAAGATACTCAGCTTGTGGATGGGATTCACGAGCTCGCTAAGGCGTTTAGTGACTATGCCTTCGGCTATTTGTAAAACTTTCCTCATTAATTACCGACAAGATTCGATTTCGTCCCCTCCCTTCCTTACCAATCTCCTATCCCAACCTTTTCTCACTATGGTTTTACCCCTTTGTTCGCCACAGCGAAATCAAGTTTAATAGTGAATTAGAACGTGCGTTCCTGCAACCGGCAATTATCTGCCAATTAATAAACCAAACGCGATATCGCCAAGTCATATTTTTAATTACAAGTCGTATATCGCTCCCTTACTTAAAAAGTAACACAAAAATTTAAGTTTCTCAGAAAGAAAAAAAATTATTTTTTAACAGAAAATTATTCAGTAATCAAATTAGGCAAAAAGAATATATTCTTAACATGATTAAATGTTATTTTTGTTTTACGACAACTCTTTTTGAATTGTGACGATTTTCACGACTTTTAATGAAATTAAGTTAGTTCACTTTTGATTGATAGGATAATGTTTATTTAATTTATTTATGGAAATAACTAAAAAATCACGTTTTCTTAGTTGTGTCATTTTTTAAGTATGGGAGATACTGTTAGAATATCTCAGAAATGGTTGAGCTTTCGATCTATAATGTTTACTAAGGCCTTTTTACTTACAATCAGTATGGTGTATACTATCTATTATATAAATGCTGAATGATTTTTTTAACATCCTGTATACAGAATAAAAAATTTTACATTACAATAAAAAGAACGTTGGAATTTTAATTTCAATAATCGAACTAAAAGTAATTCTACATTTTATTATTGATTATATATTGAGACGGAAGACTGACTGGAAGTACGCATGGGAATGTCACAGAAAAATTCCTCCTTCAGCTAACTATGTCGTCCCATTTTATCCTTTCAGCGTCACCTCAGCACATCTGCGAGTATATCTCTTCGTCAAAGAAATAACTCCCGGTACACCTTGTACGTGTCAACGTGGTTAAAAATACAGCTGTACAGGTACGCACGTGGTCGCATGTTGCGCGAAGGCACACCGACACACCGGTATTTCTTACGGCAGAAAGTCCCCTCTGCCCCATATGCTTCTTATGTTCCGCTATCGCGCGCCGAATAATGCAAGCTCCCTCGGAAAGGCACTGCTTTAGTGACAAGCGCCTTTAAGAGTTTAGACATGCGTCAACTTAAGCAAATGCAGATCAGAGCAACGACGCGCGACGAAGTGCTCAGATCTGACAGAGAGCTGGCGGAAATGTCGACTGGCGATAGAGGTGAAGTAAGATAGTTGGTAACATTCACAGCGGGAGACCTCTAAAACAGAATGATGGTTACGTCATGCAAGACCCCACTGCTCTCAAGATAGGCGAAGACACGATACACGTTTATATGTGGTATCATGTATGCTGCGGTGCGTCTGCGGTTGTCCGCAAGCGGCAAGATCGCAGATAACACGGAGTTTACATACCTATGAACAAGAACTTGTAAACACGGGAAAATTTTAACTCATCGTGAATTCGGAACAAAGCTAACAAAAAGTTTTGTAAGCTTTACTCGCGTTAGCGAATAATCTCTCTCTTTCTCTCTCATTCTGTTTATCTTCTTTTTAATTAATTTAAGAGGAGAACATATGTCTTGTTGAGAGATAGCAGATAGCTCAGCTGATAAAAGTGAATGTCATTAACGTGTGATTAATTTGTGCAGATGCGGGAGACAGATCGTACCGTACGGGATCCGACACGGAAGGCGCAGCAACTACGGACAACCCTACAACGCCATTTCCTACGCCGCCCCCAACCTTGACACCGAATCATCGACAAGCTTCTCCGTTTCCCCTCGAAAGCACAAACTCTCGCCGGCATCATTATAACGGCAGCATATCTTCCGAGAGATCTCGCAACGGCAATGGTAGGGAGTTAATTAGAACCGCAAACGGGTTGGTTTGCACGCAAGATGATACTTACGGGTTCGCCACAAGATGAATCTCATCAAACGCAATTTTATACTACGTGTACAACCGTGATGCGTGTGAGATGAGCTCATTCCGGTAGATGGACGCAAGACGAGAAATCCCGGTAGATGAACAATTTAAAGTGATAAGCAGCGTGACATTATGCAAAACAGCTTCAACCCTCGGTTTCAACTCATTTTCAAATGACACTTCGCGCACTTAAATCTTTCCAGATTCTTTACCTCGAGTTATTAAACATTATGCATGTTTTATGTCAAAGATCATATCATTAAATTAAAATAATTCCGGGGCGCGCATTCTATGTAAAAGTTATTTGATGAAAATTAAAAGTTAGCCTACGTGAAAAATTTAATCTTGATAATTTCACTTCTTTAAACGTAATTTCGAAAGGATTAGAGATCTCGAGTATTTTCTTTGTCCACGTAATAATGGAAGATTGAATTAAGCGGTATGACTCTCGTTCGTTAGCGATACCAGCGTTTTCCAAGGGAAAGAACTTCTTAGCAGGCTGTTCAAAGATATTCGTATCTTCTTTATTGCAGGTGAGACCGTTTACGCGGCGTCCACAAAAAAGACGACTTCCGGCGGCGGTACCTTAGGTCGAAGAACACGCCGAGGTCACGCAAGCGCCTTGAGCAGTAGCTCGACGGCGAGCGATCGTTCCGAAACTGTCTTCCCCGATGAACACACTCGCATGCATCTCACCAATGGTGAGGAAAAATATACTGCAGTTTTCTTTTCACATATTACGCATATGTCATCGCGCGATTATTATTTCATACGCATGATCACTGCATCACATCGCACGCTGTTACATTCCATCTTAAGATTAATTATTGTAATTATTGTAAAATCACGAGTGTACAAAGAATAAATTTCTACTATTGGAGACTTCAACAAAGAAACTCATTCAGCTTGACAGATCGGGATAAATCCTCGTCGATCGCCCTGAGCGGATCGACCCTTTAAATCACGACGTAAAATTTGCCGTGGTGCGATAAGTTAACGATCCATGCCTCAAATGCGATTACCGGACTAACCGAGTTACCGGCTGGTATCGAGCCCCTGGTCGGAGTTAAATCGGGTTTCGCGTAAACGTGTTCCTCGTTAAAAGCTTAATATTAATAGTCACCTAGAAACGCGCGAAAAAGGAAATTGCATATGAAACTCGACTTACTCAGAACTCTATAGAGCCTACGAATGCATTCTTATATCTTCTAAAAATAAGTCTTTCATTTATTTTGTAGAGGTAAGTGTTACCAATTATTCGAGATTATTGATTGAGAAAAAGAAAGAGTTGTAGCAAAATACTTTCAGCTTTAATTTCCCGTAAACTTTTCATAAAACATATTTCCTATTGATAATTAAGACTTTCTAATTCAGTAATACATAATAATAACTTTGAACGTGTAAGAATGTAATGTGTAAAAAGCACATTATCTCTCTTGTTAATTCATCCTGAAGCAATATACATAATTTCAACTAAACGAACATCCTCATTACGAGCATCCCTCGTCTCGCGTTTTCCATCGATGCATGATTACGAAGCTTCGCGAAACGGTCAAAGGCGAAAGATCTTGGCAAAGGCAAACATTTCCGAGCCATGCGTTATCGTCTAGCGAATAATGCCGTAATCGACAAACTACATTACATGTCGGCTCATTAAATAACCAAAGGATCTTCTATTTTGGCAGTTAGGTTCATTGTTGTCTGATGCAGTAATATACCAGCGGCAACACCAACAGTGTCGGTAGCTGCAATTCGAGCCTCGGGCTAACAGAGTTAACAGTTGGCGCCTGGGCTCGGCTAGTTAGAGCATAGACCACCGTCAAAGTTAGCGTGACCCCGCCGACTATATTGTTTCAAAACGTCAACAGTATTTAGATCTCCTGTCGTTGCAGGACCGCGCGCTATCTTGGCACACGCACTATCTCACTGTGTAACGCAGCTTCGAGCAGTAACCACCGAGAGATAAGAGAAAGTAGCTTTGCGGCTTTGAACCGGCGGCCGCGGTCGACGAGCGGCTTACGCTCGTCGGCTAAGTTTTAAACGAAATTTCGTCGGATCTCATTTCGTGTCGACGCGACGTCGATGTGGTGGTCACGTCGGGTTCGAGGGAAGCTGGCTGCCAATTAGTCTACCGATATCGCGAGACACCGTGAGCGTGGATGAAAGGACGAAGGATAGCTGGGTGGAAAAGCTGGCGAGCGCCTGTGCGGTAAGGAGCAAGAGCTCCACCGCATCTTCGTGGACGGTTACCTCCGGAATTTCGAAGGCCGCATTACTCCTGCCCGCTCGAGTGCGATCACATTACGTGTAGGTATCGTGAAAATTAGCGACTCGAATTAAGCTCGTGTGATGCTCGTTCATTTATAATATGTATGAACGTGTGTTCAAGATATATTCTATAAACATGAATGCACTGAAAAAGGAGTTTAGTAATAACTACCACACACAAATATGAGCGACTAAAATAATTCCAATCAAATTCGGTTTATGTAATCTAATATAAAAATAATTTTATTTTTATAAATATTTAGAAAAGTAAAATTATTTTTGGTTATATTAATCGAATATTTAATTGGAATTATTTCACTCAATATTTGATAGTTATTACCAGACTCTTTTCAGTGTTACCACAAAGTGATAAAAGATTTAGCCAGTTTTGTGTTTATCATTATCCAGGTAGCAAACTGATTTATTTAAAATATGAAATTCCCGGTTTTCTCTTTTTTTATTTTAAATTTAGGGATTTATGTCACTCTTAGTATTCTCAAACCACTACATTAAGAGAACACAATTGATTACAATTACCAAAATTTAACTATAATTTACAGTCATTTTTGTTGTCAACTCTATATTTTTTGATAGAACTATAAATATAATTATTATTACTACACATTATACTAATATTACAGCAGCAATAACTATAATATAAATCATAATCATAATCTTCTAATCATAATCTTTTTACCATGCAAGTATATAACACTTTTTTCTCAGTGTAGTTATCGATAAGTTTCCGCACAAAAATGTTTTGACGCATGACTTTATGAGTGTGCTGATGGTGACGACAAGCGTTATATAAGATGCTGCAAGATACCGCGTATAATTACCAGGATCTCGTAAGCAGTAATTTGAGTATGAATCTGCGATGGGATATTGCTTGCCAGAATGTCCCTGCGGTCTAATGGAGGCATGTCGCGGCATCTATTAGCAAATGGCTCCCAACGGTCAGGGCTTACCCGCGTTAACCCCGTGTGCACCGCATCGCCAGAAAGACGATTGATATTACATTAGACCGCCACAGTCTAATGTGGCCCAGTCGAGGAGCACGTTATTGAATTGGCAAACGCGTGAAACCCGATAACGTTACGGTAATTTGCTATCACAAAGCTATGAAATGCACGCGCTAAATGAACGTACTCATCATCGTAAAATGAAAAATTAGTACATGATATATTATATTTTATCGCGCTGTAAACATTAACTTTGTAACAAATCTGTAAATAAATGAATATTGAAAGCAAAATATAATTCGATGGTATATAGTAGGTTCTTCTTGCAATTTAATACCGTGTATTATAAACTTTTGTTATTCCACAGAATTTTCAAACAACCATTAAATTTTTGTGAAACGTATAGATATATATTGTTTACATTTATACAGATAAATCAATTAGGAGAAATGCACAATTTTTGTGAAAATTAATTATTGTGCACAATACGTATAAAGATGTGCAGAAGCAAATCACTATCCGTGGAAAATAAATTTTCCGCGGGTTTTCACAATCGTTCAACGATGGTCGGTAATTTTTGACGGGCTCTGATGCGGGTTGTTGCATTTAATGCCGTGGAACGAATCATGCGCACCAGCAAGCTTGATGTTATCAATTCGTTCGATTGATGTAGGTTCCGCGATATACATGTTGCATACGCGGACGAAATAAATGTTCGCAGAATCAATTAACTTATACAGTCAAGTAAAAATTTCAAAAATAACCGTGTTGTATCGCAACAATATGCCGGTATTTTTAATAAACTATGTATAATATAATACGGTCGAGTAAGTTCTGTCGTTGAGTAAATAACTTGCGTAAATTTTCACTTTTTGATTGTAGTGTTTAATCAAGAACACTTGATTCGTCACTTCTAACTAACAATCGAATACTTTTTGTGACAATGACCATTCAGAACGCCACATATACGAATGTGTGTGCTTGGCTAAGTGCCAAGTTTCGACGAATAGGAATAATTTCAAGCACCACTTGCAAACTATGCCAATAGTTCGTGTTCGCCATTATCATTATCGTTCTATTCATTCTTTTTAGTTCTATTTCGGATCTAGATATCTATGGCAATAAAAATTTTTTATTACATTTAACTATTTACAACGCCATCTTTTTATCATTTGCAAAAGCAAAGGTTAATTTATATGTTATAAAAGAAAGTGCTCTCAATGACAATAAAAAGTACGCATGGAAATTAAAGTCACGAGACATTAGGTTTATAGACATTATAACGGTTCTGTCTCACCACTTTACTACCATTACGTTAAGGTAAATAACTCAAACAGAATGTAATCAATGCGCGAGCTTAATTGTCGTAAATTATCGTATAATGCTCAGGTTACGAGCAACGTGATATTTATGAACTTCCTCCTCCGTGAAAATTCATCGTAGCAAAGCTCCGTTTTATGGAACCTCATTCTATTCCAAATATATTTTTTTCTTTTATTTTCTTAATATATTTTTCGCCTTATAATTGCTAGAATAAAATTTAAAGACTGTTTCAATCATCAAATATATAAATAAATATTGTTCAGCTCTATTATTTCGTTATACTTTGAAAGGATACAATAAAAGCGTTATATCTCAATTTATCATTGGTATAAATGGATCCAGGCGAGGCACGGATGAAATTTTGTGTGTCCAGTGCGAACGAAGGCAGAAGCGGCACATAGAAATTGTACGAGACAGTTCGGACGAAGCATTCACAAATGCTAACTCGGTTTATTAGACTGTTTGGTCCGGAAGGAGTCAAGCCGGAACGATTCGTTGGGCTGGTTATCGGACAGTAGGTACAGTACCTACCATCGCGGCAATACCGCTCCAGTATAACGCTAGCAAATAATTCGTATTTACATGAACGTGTACTCCCCGACGCGGCGGAGGCGTTAGACCGACAAATCGAATTACAGACGCGAATCGCTAACCGCATCAAGTCACTGTCGGCTACCTTGCATCCCCTTGCACTGTCTGACTAACCCTTCTCGCCGCCCGCGGATGAGGGATAACTCGGTTGAACTCGGTATCGGTGATGCGCTAGCATACTACATAATTGGCTCACAACGATTGGCCAAGACATACCACCGGCGACGTTATATTGCTCAATAATGTGTCCAATTAGATGTCGTGCTAAACGCCAAATAGGTATATGTAGGTACGCTTGTCACGTTTGTAATAATAGTCGAAAGCAGCACCCAATAAATTCCGCTAAATACTGTGTCAAGCAAGTTGAATAACTTGATTGAAATATTAGAACGACATTTAAAATAATTTAATTACTCTAATAATGTGATTTAATTTTTGTAAAAATATTTTGGAAAAATTTAGAAATTATAATAAACTATTTTTAGAAATAAACTTAATTGCAGCTTCCATATAAACAAAACTACTTAAGTTATGCGAATATACACGGAGAGAATTTTTTCTTAGAGTTTACCCTGAAAATATGATAGTCGTGGGACAACAATGTATTTTCAAGAATTTTAATGTAAATCTCTCTCATTCATTAATAAAACTACAATAAAGTATAAAATAAATATTTGATTAATTTTACTAAAGTGCGTATACAATATTTTCGAGGTAAATTTTAAAACAAAATTCTCTCTGAATGTAGAACTCAAAAAATGAGCAAATTAATCTTCTGAGTTCCTAAAAAAATGGTTTTTTTCATATTTGTAAAGGGGAGATTGAGTGAATTTTAATTTGAATGTAATATATTCTGCCATGGCGGAGTAAGCCGCATTATGTAAATAGCGAAATCTATATTACGGAGTTATATCATGTTCATCATTTTGCAAAATTAGATTGCATTGCACCTATCGCCATCAGAAACTGCATGATTTATTTTGCACATTCTGTAAACGCTATCCTATGCTTTATGAGAGACAGTAACGCGGTTTGACCACTGGTCAATGATGTACCAGCATTAGCTATAATTGGCTGGAACCGTATTGATCTAACCTTCATGTAGGAAGCGTTATCGCCTATCCTTGCTGCGTATAATTAGTTATGCTGGCGAATTTGCATATACAGTGCAATAAGTCGTAGAATTCAATAGAATTTGCGCGGAAGTCAACAAATTTAACGATTCTTCACATTACATGTTACGTTAGCAAGTAATTGATTTACATGTATGTATGCGAAACGTATAAAAAAAGATGATGTCGAATATATCCATCAAATGGATAATAAAATTGTTTGTTACCAATCGCCGTTATAATTGATCTACTGGAGATTCATCAAATTCCACTATGCGCTCGTTGCGAGATATTTTTGCTTTTGGCAATTTAACCGTCGGATTAAATTTAACCGGTTTTAACTCTTTCACCCGCATTCTAGCAATTTAACGTTAATGTACCTGTAGTATATTTCGCAATTTCAGAAGAACCTTCTTCAAATATGTACTTTTCCCGAGCTTTAATTTGCTACCGCATACGTATGCAGAGCGATGTAACCACCACGAAGACAGAATGTATCCTGTGACTTGTATCTCATCGTTATAAAACGTCTTGTAAAATAACATATTGTCAGATTCAAAGAGGGGGCCGGCCCTCTCTGCAGCGGTACCAGCCCCGAGATTTTTCCAACCCCGTTCTCGGTGCGATATCGACTTTGTAATTGAGCGTTACAGGTGTTCCGAGCACTCGAACGATGCCGGCAAATTGTTCAATAACTGGAACAAATGTATATTTCGACGGTAAAGTTGTCCGAGATACGCGACGGACGCGGCTGGCGCTGACAGCTACGCATTGCGCATTTCACGGTCCGGTTTAATTAAGCGATTATTATTGCTTATTACGGAAAATATCGATGCTGCTCCCAGGTGACTTCGCAGAAATAATTTCTCTATCGCGTTTATAATTTCTACGATTAATTAGATGTCGATCCGGCGAGTGATAACGGCGAAAATTGTCGAAAATTTGAAATAGCCTCATTGCAAAGTGTTGTCAGGAAGTGAAAGCGAATATTGCAGATATATATCATTATCATTCACATGCATGACAATTGCATTAACCTTCGATGTTATCCGATTCAATCACACTCTAAAATGCATTTGTGATCTCGTTTTTCTCGTAAAATTATTAAATTAATCACGAAATATCATCTATACTGTGTTCTATCTCGAGGTCTCACTTTGCATCGATTCATTTACGGAAATTCCTAACTCTGTCAATGAAATTAATATTATCTATGTTTTTTTAAATCAATTATCTCACAATAATTGTAATATTATTATCTATAGAATTTTCATATACGGATATAAATCTGAAGAACTGTGATCGTTTATGCTCGACGCTATATAGTATTTCGTGCAATTTATTTTAACGTAAATCTATCGTATAATAGTGTTTGAATTCATCGTACATTTCATCTGCATGACGCAATTTTTTTTAGAATCGTCACATATGCACATGCCGATCCCATCGCACTAATGCACTTTTCTCTCTGCACATTCCTGTCGCACAGGTCTACCCAGGCCTATTTATCTCACAGGTATGTAAGCAATCTGCAGAAAGACCAAATGTATAAATTTGATATAAATATGTTATATGTACTTATTTGTTATCATTAAAAGCAACACAGAAACTAACTGTGGGAAAACATCACATAAAAATTCCATTATTGTTTTATGATTTTTCGATGATTATCTTCTTATATGTATATTTTTAATGTTATTAATGTTGTCTGAAAATTTTGGTCTTTTTCTCATTAACTGTTAAAAGAGTTACTTATTATAGGTTGGTGCAAAAAAAAATGTCGTTTTTTCTGTATTGCTATTAAGAGCAGTCGTAACTTCGTTAAAAAATGAACAAAATTTAAATTTAAAAAAGACTTTTATAAAGCTTGAAAACTCTACTTCCAAAAACTTATTATATTTTTTGAGTTCATGTGAGTTTGATTAATTTTTACATATAATTAATTTTTACATATAGAAAATTACCAGATGAAAAAAATGAAAAAATTTCTTTTCACTTTATAAAATTTGTGACTATCTATCGTGAAAGATTGAACTTTTTCCTACAAAATCGTTTTTTAATAATGTTCCTACGATTTTTTGTTTCTGAGTTACTCGCGGATTAAGTAAAAATAGCATTCGGACTTTGATTGCTCATAACTCCATTAAAAATCATTATATTGCAATAAAAAAATATAGATTTTTAAAGCTGAAACTTTGCTCTAGCAAATCTATAATCGCTAACTTTTTAAAAATATAATAGAATATATTGGAAAAGGGGGGAAAAACCAAAACATTTTATAATACCGAAAACCGACATTTTTTTTTAACTTGCTTGCCGATGCAAAGAATTGCGGTAACTATAAGACGTTAAACTATTGTTTACTATGTGGCTCAAGTAATTGTCTTGACATTTACAACACACATCTATAAGTTATAACGACTCGCTTAATAGATTTTAATCCGCAGGACCAGGGACCGAAATTCCATTATCCCACATCCGAGTTACCACAACCAAGTTACGTAGCTTCACGAAAGCGCGATAGACCACTGTATTGCAGTTAAACTTGATTTACAATAATGTGCACTGTAACATTAACAACCTTTAATGGTTATACATTGCTCCAATTATGTATATATGCTCAACGTAGTATCGGTTTATAGCGTCATCGTTGGCTGTTTCGGCTAATTCCCCATAAATGGTATCTGTATAAGTATAGTATAAAATGCTAGATTTGAAGACACAAAATTTATAACTAATAATAAACTTTTAATTGTGCTGAATAATTAATTAATAGCGTTTTAATATTTCTCAATAGTAATTACATCGACCCCTTCTAATATAAGAGATGAGCTTTTCGCGGGTAGACTCTCAAATATTTTTGTTGCCCTCGACATGCCTGGTAGGCGCTCTTTTATGCTCTTTATGTTTAGGTAACTTTAATTATTCTTTGGTGGAGTTCCTTTCAAGTTTCAACAACTTTATAAGTAACTTAGCTACGGGAACGGTCGCAACGCTAAGCCCCGAAGGGCCAATGGTGAAGGGGTAGAAATGGAAAATTTTTAGTATTGCTTTATTGAAGCTTGCCACAATTACTTTATGTTTCAAACACAAAAATTTACGAAATTCTCAGAAAACAATAATATCCATTATATAGTACATTAATGTATACGTATAATATGCATGGATTGCTTGAACAGGTACGCATGTGCAAAGCGAGACACGTAACACATTGTGTCGCTGTCGCAGCTTTTAAAGTGCATTTATGGATAATGATACTGGAATTGCAATATACGCCGTTAATATCTCAATTATGGTACTCAACTATTATTGAGTATTTCCTTGTATATTCCTTCGTCTATAATGGGTAATCAATTTCGTCGTGTAATGGCAGATAGATTCTTTGAATTTGCATGCATAAAACGTTACGAGGAGATGCCTAATTATTGATGCCGTTTAATTGCTCACGGCATTTCTATGGGAAGACTAGAATTTCATGAATGCCACGTAAGAGAGAACAATATCGCAATGAAATGGATGGAATTACACCGATACAATAATTCAGTCAATAATTCACAAGATATACACCGAATTTGAAATTATCGTATTAAATGTGTTATTTGAGAAATCAAAGAAATTATTAAAATTATGAAATTAAATTTTTCGGAGGTCAATAGTTACTTTCTATGATTCTTTTATACAGTAAATATTATCAGACAATTTGATTTCTCATATAATCGATTTCAATCTCATCTGAAGCTGTGAATATTACATCATACGTGTTTATATAATAAATGTTCCATATTGATGTTGTTTAGCATATTATTTAATAAATTGCGTTCATGTTATATTAAAACGCGATTTATGGGAAATACCATAATGTGCTGTAAGAAACAATGTGCAATCTAATAGAAAAAAATATGTTTTGCGTTTTTAGATACCGGTAGGGATTCTCCTCCGGAACCCGCGCCACCGGAAGTACCGCCACGTGGACCGTCTTTACACGCGACGCATACTTTACGCACGCAACAAAACCGAAATGGTTGCCCACCGAATGCATCAGGAAGTTTCACTGTGCCAAGTGACCAAATACCGACCGAGACGTATTCGGGTAAGTAATAATTCAACCAACACTTTACATGCTTCAAAAATATTCGTTCGGAAAAAAATTAAATTTCTATCAATCAAACATATAATATAGATTGTCAATTTTATTAACAATTAACGTGTATGCTTCTCTAAAAGATTTTTTCTTTAAACTCACGTGCATATTTATTCCTCTGTGAATTAGTATAAATGCATGAGTAAACATCGCTAGTACTCCATGAAAAGAGCAACATAATGACAATTGAATCCGAAACATGATCCATTCCGCTTGAACCTATGGATACCGTTATATGAAGCGG